TCTATGCCTGCGAAGGGCAAAAAGTCAGTGCGCCGTGATGGCGCATGATCGAGAGAATGTGCCGTGACGGCGCAAATCAAACAGTTGGGAGAAGTTTGAGTAAGAGCCTGAAAGATGTGCCGTGACGGCGCAGACGACGAGGAGGAGTGTGCCGTGATGGCGCAGATGACAGGACTGACGACAAAGTGCAACGCGACGATGCAGACGACCAGGAGTAGTGTGCCGCGACGGCGCAAACATGTCGCTCTCTCTCTCGTCTCTCTCGTCTCTCTTCGACTTCACGCACCGTTTCCAGGCAATTTCATGTTCTGCACAAGAGGGAGAGGGAGAGAGCGAGAGAGCGCATGCATGCACCAATCATTGCTGCAGCCTCAGAAGGCATCGGCCGGAACTTCACAACCTGAGCACGATCGCACACGACAGAGATCAGAAGAAGTCTTGCAGAGAGGAGTCTAAACCTTGCATCGGACTTCATGCATTGGGCTTCCCTGCGCAAAGTGTTGCTTGACCGCATTCAGGGCAGAGTGAGTGTCCTGCCATCTCGGCCGTCGCAGCCTCGGGAACATTCATCAGCACCGAGCGAAGACTGATCTGAAGAGTCGTCTCTCTCCAAACCTCTCTGTGTATCACATGTCGCCCATGTCATGAACACATCGGACACAGAGCCGAGGACATGTTCTGCATCCCTTGGCCCTTGTCGTTGCCGAGATCTCAGCCTCAGCGAAGTCCCACGATGCTGTAGTCACTGCAGCACAGACCTCTGAATTGCACGATTAGGGAGTCTGACAGCTGTGCGTGATCTGATAGAGCATACAAAGCCAGCACGAAGCAAGCGGTATTTTTTTGCTTGCCAAGTCTGGAAGGAGGCTCCGCACAGCTCCTTCCAGCCCAGCTTGTGCCAGGAGGCTCGGCACAGCTGCTTCTAGCCACGCGCAGGGTAAGTTACACCGCAGCAAGACCACACAAGCAACTTGACATCCCAGACTGCTGGTCTTGTGGCTACTTTGTTTGTGCCCAGGCTAGGATTCTTTTAGGAATTAACGCCGCGAAACCCCGAAGCTAAAGCCGGTCACTTACCGCTGCACGCTGTCGGAAGAAGGCCACTTCAGAAGTGGAGGCATGAGCTGCCGCAGGTGCCTCGGATGGACACGGCGGAGAGATTTCGATCAGCCACACCTGCACAGTAAGTATTAGTTGACCAATTCTCAGCAAGGGCAGAAGACCTCGCGAGCAAGGTCTATGCGCAGCCACCTCCTGATGTTTTGCAGACTCCAAGTCGGGGTCCCAAATCCTGCAGTGCTGCTGTAATATTATCAGTCGAGAGGCTCAGGGCTCGTCGTCGGAGGTCCGTCCCTCAACCACGGAGGTCGGTGCCTCTGCATCATCCATCTCCTCAGTACACGAGAGTGGACATTTCGGATAAATAACGTAGCTCAGTGGAGCTTAGTAGCGGCTGGGGATGTGGGCGCCGCCTCGAACTCCGTGGGCAGCCGCAGAACCGTCGGCAGCGGGCTGAAAGGGCTCGGCTGGCTCGGCTTAGATGCCTCCAAACGTTCGCGGAGAGCGGTTCGGAGGAGATCCTGACAAGGATGCTGATGCTGACAGGAAAGCTAACGCTTGTTTATTCTCGCAAGTTTTGCACCCCGCCTCTTCCAAAATTGATGTGGCCAGCTCCTCCTGCAGCTCGCTCATTTCCTGTGTCGCTTCGGCCTGCGAGGAAAAGCATGTCTTCTAGAACCGCCGTTACGGCACTGAAGGAAGCCCACCTGAGCTTTCCGGAAGGTCTCGATCTCCTTCTTGGCCACGGCCTACGCGGAAAGCTTCGCTGGTTCATGATTTATGACGCAACCAAGCGCAGCCCCCCACCTCTGAAGACCTTGCTTCCTCAAGCTCCTTCCCGAGTCCTTCCTTCGCGGGTTCTGCCACACTGCTTCCACTCCCGATCTTGCGACCCCACCGACCTTGGCATTCTGGAGCCGCACTGTGTGCGATTCCAGCCTCTCTGTTGAGGCCTCAATGCGGAAGATGCTGGACTCTGCGTGCTCCTCCTGGTCCTGCGCGGTGCAGGACTTGAACTACAAGAATGTGTGATTCCAGCCTCTCTGTTGAGGCCTCAATGCGGAGGATCCTGGACTCTGCGTGCTCCTCCTGGTCCTGCGCGGTGCAGGACTTGAACTACAAGAAAGACACGTGTTTGCAGGCTCCCAGTGCTCCTGCAGCTCCCGTCTGAGCTGTGCCTCGCTCCGGCTGCGGCTTCCAGCCTCTGCATTGGCCTGCCGTGTTATCCTTCCGACAGCAACACCTTCTTAGCTGGATGAGACAGCCTCCCGCAACTCCGTCTGGAGCGTCCGGATGAGGCCCATCTTTTCCTGATTGCGGACCGCGAGCCGATCCTGACATAAGCAGAAGTCGCAGACGTCGCATCAGCAGCAGTAGCAGCAGCAGCCGCCTTGTCTGACTGCAAGACCGCATTGGCCCGGTCGATCACGCGGTGAGCATCCCTGGTCTTCTCGAGCACGCCCATTTCCTGAGCTTTGGGTTCCGAATCGCTGCAAGTCACTCACACTCCCACTGCTTCTTAGTTGCTGTTCTCATCTGGGCTCCGCTTGCCTCGATCTCGCGATGAAGAGCCCGCAACTCGGTTGTCTTCTCCTGTGCGGATCCTTCAGCTCAATACGTACCGCAACTTACCCGGTTCCTGCCTCGTCCTTCGCCTCCATCCGCTTTACCTCTTCGTGGAAGCTCTTCTGGGCCGTCGCTGCGCTCGCCTTCAGCATGGTGCCGGGTGCTTGAGAAGGGGAAATGGAGAATCCAGTGGCCTCCATTCGCTTCACCTCTTCGTGGAAGCTCACCTGCACATGTTGTTCAGCACGGAAGCTTTATCTAAGAGAATCTGAGCGCCTCCTGCATGGACAGAAGCTTCTTCATGCTCTCCTTGGCTTCGAGGGCCGCCTCCTCCAGGATAGCTTCATTTTTCTGGGATGTTTGTCGTCGAGTCTTGCTAAGCCAGATCAGCTCCAAACGGTTTCTCCTGGCCTTCTCGCAGCTAGCTGTACGATATTCCGCCAGGTTCCCGATTCGGAAGGCCTCAGTTTACACATCTCGGAATACAGCAGATAAATTGTCGCCATATTGCTGAGTGTCCGACATCTGTTCGCACAAGCAACTGCTGCGTTTGCTCATGGCTGCGTGCCTCTGCTGTGTCTGTGTCTTTCCCAATCACTGTTCCTCTGAAATCCAAAAGGTCTGCCCGCCTCGGACACCTCGTAGGCTCGCAGATTTGCCACGTTCGCCTGGTGTCTTGCTTGCTTGCTTGCACAATCTCTCTTTCTCTCTCCCTCCCTCCCTTTCGTCCCGCCTCAGAGTCGGCGAGCTCTTGCCGCAGCTCGCCACATTCAGCCTGGCGTCGTTATATTATCTCTATGTTCCGCCTTGGCTCGCCCTCTCTTTCTCGTCCCTGTCTCTTGCTCTGTCCATATGCTACTTCCTAGTCCCTCTGTGTCTTGCGCCTCGGCTTCCTTCAGCTCCGCAGTCTTCTCCTTGAGCTGCTTCACGAGGCGCGCGCTTCGGTCGTCGCGGTTCTGCGCAGCATCGGTCTCTCGTTTCCGGGCGTTTTCACTACGGCGGTCAACGTAGTGACCGTAGTAGGAGTTCCATGCCCGGGAGCCGTCCGACCCCGAAGCCATGCCTGCGCTGGTGTTGCTGATGCCCGTGTTTGCGCTGGTGTTGCTGATGCCCGTGTTTGTGCTGGTGTTGCTGGTGCCCGTGCTGGTGCTTGTGTTGCTGATGCTTGTGCTCGTGCTGGTCTTGCAGCCTCTGACGTGCTGAAACGTGCGGATGTTCCATAGCATGATTGGCATACCAACAACTGGCCTTGCTGCCTCTGATATGCTGAAACGTGCGGATGTTCCATAGCATGTGAAGTTCAGGCAGTCGCATGTCAGCCAGTCCTTTATGCACTGCAGTCGAACACGGTGTGGAACGCTGTCTGCTGAGGTTATGACAGTGCCGCCGAGAGGTGCCAGCCTGAGCACACTTCAGATATCAGAGGGCTGAGGCATGAGGGGCATTGCAGGGATTAGGGCCCCGCGCTGCGTCGGTAGAGTCCCATGCTTTCCGTAAATTGGTGCGGGGTCCAGGCATGTGGTTTTCTGCAAACGCACAACTTCGGAGGTGGCAAGACTTCTCCCCATCTCCAACAGCTGGCAGAGTCTGATGTCGAACACATGCCAAACCCTGAAAGCACTTGTGGCAACCAGCAGTCCTCGTGACAGGACTTCTCCCTCTTAATACACCACCTGAAACAACCCTTCTCCCTAAACCCTTCGAAAAGCCAGTAGAAACCACTGCGGTATGTGCACCAGACTTCCGTAGCACTAGCAGCAGCCAAGGCCACGGCCGGCGTTGTGTTGTTCGACTGAAGGCCTGCCGGCAGCTGGTTTGCCCAACGTAACGCAACAGGTGCTTTTAGGTCATTAGGGAAGTGTAACCGCTGGAAGTGCCTGAAGTGGCGCTTCCGAAACCAGGAAGCAGCTGAAACCCCTACCCTAAACCCCTGAAACAGCATTTGCCGAAACCAGACCTCGGAAGAAGCAGCTGAAACCCCTACCCTAAACCCCTAAACCCTGAGAAAGCAAAGCCTTGAAACAGCATTTGCGGAAACCAGACCTCGGAAGTGGCACTTCCGAAACCAGCGGGCCCTACCCTAAACCCCTGAACCCTGAGACACCAGCTGAGACAGCTAAACCCTGAAACAGCATTTGCGGAAACCAGACCTCGGAAGTGGCACTTCCGAAACCAGCGGGATTTCGGAACCGGCCTCGGAACTGGATTCGGAGCTCTCATCAACCAGACAACATGATTGTTATTGCCCGCTGGTCTGGTTCAAGTCTGTCGAGTCTGGTTTGCTCCCGGTGCTGCGAAGGTTAAACAGGGTTCAGGAAGTTGATTTGAACGGACTCTACAGGACCCTTCCCTCCTAGGCAGCAGGACTGGTGAGCATGCCTAGGCCCAAAAACTGCGCTGCGCCGACACATGGTCCCAAAAGACGCAAGGGCAGTGTGCGCAAAATTCCGTGTGCCTACAGCAAGTGCTCCAACAAGACCGTGGATTGCAAGAACAAGGGCCACACTCTCGATGTGGGGATGCTGAACAAGAAAGTGAGGCATCTGCATCCTGGGGCGGTGAAAGCACGATTCTGTTGTAGGCAGCACCAAGAGCTCTGCCGGCGTAAGGTTCGGGGTCCTTACGGGGGCCGCGAAGCTTTAAACCCGGAACAGATTGCACTGCTCTTCCATGTCTTGCAGCAATCCACCCCCTGGGCAGCAGTTCTTTTCCTCCTAAGCCTGATGCTAGGAGAACGTGTGGACGCAGCTCGGCGTTGCCAAGACAGCTGGTTCCGAGGCTTGGACTCTGATGAAGGTGTCCTGCCGGCAATCAGCATTCCCAAATGTAACGGCAAGACGAGGGCCAGGGAGGACGTGCCTCTCCATGCTGGATTTGCAGCGTTACTCTTCGGCTGGATATCAGAGGCCCCCCTACGTGGAGATGCAGGCAAACAGTGGCCTTTTCCGGAACAAGCACTACGCACTACAAGGACGGCAGATGGACGACAACAACAATCCAACCTTCTCTTCCCTGGTCGCCAGCTTGGGGGGATCAACAAGCGAGACATGCGCAAGCCAGTGTCCCCCAAGGCCTTGTGGAACTGCTACAGTGCTGCACAAAAGGTCCTGCTCGAACAACGGAAGCAAAAGCACAGGATTGGTGAGCCACATATCTTCGACGACATTGCACTGCAAAGAGTGACATCGCATAGTTGCAAAAAAAGCGCAGTGACACTGCTCTCCGATCACACGACTACTGCCATCATTTCAGCAATCACTGCTACCTCCCCGCGCATCCTGTCCAGCACTTATGTCTGCCCTACAAAGAAGAAGCAACGAAAGGCAGTTGACAGTGCCTTTGCGGGTGTCCTGGCCCAGCTGGAAGCTCCCGCGGAGGTACCGGCACCACCTGAGACGCAGGATCGCGTCTACTGCGTTGGCTGTGGAAAGCATCAGGCATGTGTGGAATGGGACTTTTGTCCCAACTGTGGCAGGGCCTACGTTGCAGTCGACAGCAACCCGGGTGCAAAGACATGAGGGTGCAGGTGGTAAGCCAGCATCACTATGGTCCCGGCGCAGCAGCGAGGCCAGGCTCCGACACAAATGGTCTCACCTGTCATTGAAATCAAGCAAGTCTCACCTCGTTCACCGGTTTCATGGCAAAGCCAAAGAAGTAAATTCAAAGGAAGGCTGGAACAGGTGCGTGCGTGCGTGCGTGCGTGCGTGCGTGCGTGCGTGGTGCGTGCGTGCGTGCGTGCGTGCGTGGGTGGGTGTGTGTGTGTGTGTGTGTGTGTGTGTGTGTGTGTGTGTGTGTGTGTGTGTGTGTGTGTGTGTCTGTGTGTGTGTGTGTGTGTCCGTGTGTGTGTGTGTGTGTCTGTCTGTCTGTGTGTGTGTGTGTGTGCGTGTGTGCGTGTGGGTCTGTCTGTGTGTGCGTGTGTGCGTGTGTGGGAGTGGGAGTGGGCGTGGGCGTGGGCGTGGGCGTGGGTGTGGGTGTGGGTGTGGGTGTGGATGTGGGTGTGGGTGCGGGCGCGGGCGTGGGTGTGGGTGTGGGCGTGGGTGTGAGTGTGTCTGTTATAGTCATGTTGAAGCCGTCCGGAAACCCTCTGAAACCCACCTTAGAGTCCCCGTGCGCCACAGTGATGATGCCTGATTTTTCATAGGCCAGCTTGTCAGTCGCCCTATTCCAGAGATCCCCTGCTTCGGAGCCGCAGGATCTACTGGCAGACATCAGTGCCTTCCTCAGACTGCGATACGGCCTAAACCTCGAAACCGTTGACTTTTGATTTGAGACCCCAGAAAACGAGCTACTTGGCCTACACTCCTGCGGCACACAGCAATCCCTCGAGCACTCGTTGCAGCAAACCTATGGGCACGCCGTTTCCAACGGCAAGTCCCAAGCTTCGCTCCGAAATGATATTCCGCGGAATCTTTCGCGGATTCATGCCCATGAACAGCATTGACTCGTCAAGGGTCATCTTCCGCCCGAGCCAGGTGAGCCAGTAACCGCTGGGCCTGTTGCGTAAGATGCAAGGGCACATTCCATGCATGATATTCGGCCCACGCTGGATACTGTTGGCCAAGTCCACAATCCAGTGCTGGCTGAACGGGTCACCGCCTTGCTTCCGGATCTTGGAGATTGCAGCCTTCAGGTTCGCTCGCTGTCCCTTCGGTGTCGGCTGGTTTCTGGGATCATCATCTGCCTGCGGCAGAATGAAGTCTGTCACGGGTCGGCGTGACGACGATGGGTCCTGCACATGCCGGCATAGGAATTTCAACCGACAGCGTTGAGAGAGGGAGGGAGAGAGAGAGAGAGAGAGAGAGAGAGAGAGAGAGAGAGAGAGAGAGAGAGATGTGGGGTCATAAGAATAGTGTATTATCACACACATATAACGAACCAACCCTTAACAGCTTTATAGCTGGATGCACGGATGTGAGAGTTCAAACATTCAGGGCAGCTTGAACGCTAGTGCCATCGAAGGTTCAGGGGTCTAAAAATAGGGTATACACGCAACGTGCCTCAGTTGGCCAAACCATGTGGGAGCAATCAGTCTGGGCACGGAGGAAGCCGGTGATGAAGAGCCGTTCGCGGTGATGAGGAATTCCGGTCACCCGAGACGCCTCCAAAATCTTCCAGCTGACCCTGTACCTTAGCTCTCAGCGCCGTGACGTGAGGACATGTTCTGGACATCTCTCCCTCGCGATGTTTACAAATACAAAACGCTGCTCTCACACTGTCGGGGAACAAAGGTTGCCCGTGCTTGTCCACCATTGAATGCAATACCTCCAGGATAAGGGCGAAGAAATCGCGATGCCTCGTCACGAGTCCGCGTACATTCTCCAAGCAAAATACACGCGGCTGTCGGCGCCCAATGTACGTGAGGATGGGGAAGGTGCACATGCCCGATAAGTGATGCAGACCAGTACCGGCCCCGGCAACGGACCACGGCTGGCACGGGAAACCACTGAAAAAGACGTCGCACGGCGCCTCCATCCAACGCTGGTCCATGACATCCACATATATGTGATCATGAGAATGCATAGCACGCGCCAAGCTGAGCATGCCCCCGTCCAGCTCGCAGCAGAAAGATGCGTGGAACGCGCGGCCCAAGCCGCTCATGGCCCACAGCTCGGAGCAAAAGCCTGAGCACACAGAGCCAACAAGCAGCGTTTCTGCTGTAGGCCGCACAACTGGCAGCGGATCGGGCAAGTCAGCAGCCGTGATCGCCTTCATGATCTCCGCTGCGGAGGGTGTGCTGGAGGCAGCAGGCTTCGCATTTCGGGTTTTCGGAGCTTTGGCAGCACACGGCCGTTTCATGACCTTGGCCACATGGCTACGCTTGACTCTGCCATTTCCTTTCTGTTTCGGGGAGGGGGCGTCCTCCACATTGTCCATGTCCGTGTCCAGCATGGTCGTGTCCTCCACGTCGTCCATGCTATTGGGGTCTAGCATGGCTCTAAGAGTAACAGTCTAACAAACGGTGCCTTGATGGAACTTGCTGTCCGTTTGATCTGGCGCAGCGACATGTGCAGCACAGTACGTTTGCTAATTGTTGCAAGACCGCGGAGTTTGTGCAGAATCTGAATGCTCTCAGCTGCTAACCATGCGGATCCCTCGAAAGTAGCGCTGGGGAGTCGGCGACGTGCGGAGGGCCGCACCTATCAGCTGCCTGCATGGGCGACAGGGCTTTTGGTTCGGAGGCATATCATAGGGAGCGGAGATTTTAGCAGAATCTGAATGCTCTCAGCTGCTAACCATGCGGACTCCTAGAAAGTAGCGCTGGGGAGTCGGCGACGTCCGCAGGGCCGCACCTATCAGCTGCCTGCATGGGCGACAGGGCTTTGGTTCGAAGGCATAGGGTGTGTGTCTGAGATGCAGGTGATGTGAGGCCATCTGTGTCTGACTTCTGTTGCAGCAAGTTACCAGCAGCGCATCACTCGGAAGATAGGCCGACTGAGCAGACTTCAAGCAAATGCACCGGAGTGAATTGACTAACTTCTAAGTCCTGATGTTGCATATGATCCGGCTGAGTCGGGCTACAAGCATTGCGTCACTCGAAAGACAGCCGAGTCAGCAGCATTGCAGCAAATTCAAGGATTCAAGGTATGATGCTGCATATGTTCTCATAGACTGTCGCTGACTCGGGGAGCAAGGGAACATCATGTGAGAGGCTGCCTAGCCACTCGGCGTTGTGCTATTGAACGGCCCCTTGCGCGCCTTCAAGAAATTTCGGGAACCAAAATACTCTGCTGCATAGGGAATGCAGCTCAATCGGGCAGCAAGGGAACATCCAGCCCAAAAGCTGCTCAGCCTTGCAGCTTCTTCAAAAGCTCCTCGCGCGCCTTCTCCTGCACGGACTGGCCAGTCGTCTTGGGCTTCTTGCTCTCTGGCTCTGTGGCCTCATCCTTCGTTGTACGCTTCGAGTCGCCGCTGCCACTGCCCGACAAGTTGAGTGCAGCAGCTGCAGCTGCAGCTGCTGCTGCCGCGCCAAGAGCATCCGCCTTGCCTTTTGGCTTTGCCTTCGCCTTCCCTGTCGGGGCCGCCCCGTCAACGGCTCCACCATCGGCCTGAGCTTTGAGCTTCTTGAGAAGCTGCGCAAGGCCCACCTGATAGAACTTCTCGTTGTCCGGGTCCTGCATCCGCTTCCAAAGGTCTTGCTTGATTTTCTCCTTCAACAGCAGCAAGTGGTCGCTGGTCATGCACAGTCCAACGAATGGCACACGGTCCGCGATGCACCTCACGGCTTCGGACTGGCTCGCAGGCCTAGACACATCTGCAGAAGTCGTCAACCCTGTAGAATGCTTACGAGCTCTGGAAGTCAGACAACCCCGACATCCAGTATATGTTCATGCCGCCGCGCCTCATCGCCATCAGGTGGTCCATGGCCACGCCCTGCACAATGCACCGCGCATTGAAGGAGTACAAGATCTCCTCGTAGAGCGTCTCCTCCGTCAGGTGCCACGAAACAGGCTCGCCCGTTTCGCACTTGGGTCTTGCGGGAGCGTTCTCCACGGTGCCGCCCACCAAGATCTTGGCAGACTTGGAGTAGACCTTCTTCCGGTCCGCTGGAGACAGAAGCCACGTCTGCGCATTCTCCACTCCAAGTGATTGCAACGGCAAGAAGACATTGCCCATGTTCGAGCCTGTCAAGCGCTTCTTCTGGCGCTTCGGCACATTTAGCCCCTGCTGCGTGTAGCAGGGCATGTGCTCCAGCTGGTTGAGGCTGCCTCGGACTCGCTCACGTTTATCAGCAATGCTCTGCTCGTTGTACACCAGATAGTAGTCCTGCCGAACCTTCGTCATGGGCGACCCGGTCTTGTAGTTCACGAAGACGCTTGAAATCGCGGAAATGATTTCCCTGCCACCGGTCGTCACCAGCACAGCCTCATCCTGCCGCAGCTCGCCCTCCTGACTAGAACGCTGCAACTCTGACTGCAGCGGTGCCTCCTATTGATGCACAACTACATGCATTTGCGAGCATGTCAAAACGGCTCCTCTCCGCTGCCCGTCGCCGGCCACCTGACCCATGCGAAAGCTTGCACCAAGCGTTGCGCCCATGCCTTTTGCCATGGGGGCAGTCGGCAATGGGCCAAGGACGAAGCCTCTCCCATGACTTTGGAATCCATGAACAAGACGATGTTCGCCCGATGCTCGGCATCCGGGTCCGCGGCTTTCAGCTCCGACAAAACGGACGATTGCAGAGCGATGCCAAGCTCTGTGTAGGAGTCCCCACTGTCCACGATCAGCTTCACGAACTGATCCACCTGGGTCTCCACTAGCTCCTTGCGACCATGCACAGGGAACTACGGGCACCACCCCGCACGACCATTAGCAGCTGCACCACTACGGCAGCGTCACCACTGGCAGCATAAGTAGTACTCCTACAACTACGACTGCTACGACTACATAGTACTACGGCGACGACGACTGGTACATCCCAGCCCTGCACGTGTTTGTCCCATGCGGAATCACTCATCAAATGCATTCGTGACGTCATGGGTCCTGCCACTGCCTCAGCTCGTCCCCCTCGTCCATCTTCAGCACTTTCTCCTCCACCACGGTGCTCAAAGTGAAGCTTGGCGTCAAAGCTGGAGTAGTAGTATCCGATTGAGCTGCAGCCGCCGCTGGGGTTTTGAACCCGGACCTGAGCAACGCCGCAGGCGTGCAAAGCAACGATTTCCGTTTCTATGTCGGAAACAGAAGGCAGGACGTAGATGGCCACCAATTAACGGAAGGAGTGAGCCAACTTGAACTGATTTGTTGTATTATGCTGCTCTGTTTGATGGGTTCTGTGGATTTGAAGCCTTCTCCCTCTCTCTTTTATGTAGAGCAAAACTGAGCCAGCACGACATGCATTGATGTCATCATGGTGCTGTGAATGCCTGAAATGCATGCGCGGAGCTCCTTCTGATTACACTCCACGATCTCGTCCAAAGAGGAGGACAGGTGGTTGCACTGCACAAGCAAATCCTTGAGCACCACGGTGGCGCGGAGGGAAGCCTTGTAGTGGTGGTCGTGGGTGTTGCCGAAGATGTCGGTCTGACAGGGAGAGGAGGCGGTGTCTTATTTCCGAACCCTGTTCCGTGATGTCGCAAACCCGCCTTGAGAAAGGAGATGATCTTGCGACCGGTGTCGGATAGGGTGCTTTGCCATTGCAATGCATTTGCTTGGTTGCTCTTGCGCCAGATCACGTGTGCCGCGCACCTGGTCCGGATGGCATCCTTCTCGTCGAAGCTCAAGCCGGTGAGGGATTCGAGGAAGGTGGACAGGAGATGCTTGTGGAGGTCATGCTTAAAGTTAAAGAGCGTTATCAAGCCTTTTCCGCGCACCGGATCCTGAGAATGTCAGGAGACGGGCGACATGCGGTGTGTAGTCACAACACATCAAGATAGGCAGACCTAGACAGTGGAAATCGCTGCGATGCAATGCCGAGTCTCGAGGGTGGAAGCATTGAAGTCTCGGCAAAAGGCAAGGCCCATCTGGAGCTGGTCGCGCACAGTCCACACTGTCCACGCCACCGGCTGCGCCTTCTGGACCACTTTCACCAGGGCCCCCACGAAGCAGAACGGCGAGGCTTTGCCGTACTCCTCGTCGAGGTCAAAGATGGCCGTCCGCAACGCCTCGTCACCCATGAGCCTGGCATAGATTTTCTGGCAGTCCTGCACAAACTCCAAATCGACCTTCTCGAGCATCTTGCTCTCCTTGTTGGGTATGCTGTCGATCCAGGCTTGGTATACCTCCACATTCGTCAAGCCTGTCTTGCCCAGAGTGCTCTCCAACCGCTTGCGGAATAGCTGCAGTTCCATGACTCTCTGGGCGCCGGATCTCAAGACAGCTTCGAAATCGTCAGCCACGTTGTTTCTCAAGTTCACCTGAGGACGAGGATTATGCGCATTCCGCAACATGCAGGGTTGTGGGGAGTGAGGGTGCAGACGCTGGAAAATAAAATAGGCCGGGCGCGGAGCGCACGAACGCATCCATGGGCGTCCCATGTTTTTCAAAAGCGAAGGTGACGCTGAGCATCACCTGCCGCCAGTGCCTAGGCAGGTGGCAGCCTCTCTGTCTCACTGACCGTCTTTCCCAATAGTTCCCTCCCTGTCTTCTTCGCCCACAGATTGGATGCTAACGAACAATTGCCCCCGGGAACAACCATCGTCCCTCTCGCACGTGCTTGCTGCAATGCCAGCGTGCAATGACTGGAACAGACACGGAACTTCAACATTGACACAGGTCGCTATGGATTTAGTTGAATAGCGGTCGAAGCACATCAGCTCTGCCTCCGCTGCCCCGGCCGCGATGAGGTCCCGGACCACGAAAAGAAGGGCTTCATCGTATTCCTCTGGGCTGTAAGTTGCTCGATCTCTGGTGCATTAAAATTACAGGGTGCATAGCATTGTAGTAGTATAGCACCACTTACGTGTCACATGTATGGAGCGCAACAGTGAAATTTCACCACGATGCTTGTGCCGACACACGCCGCAAGTTGCCAAGGTCGAGCTCGTCGGGCGACGCGAGCGACACCACCATGACATGATTGAACGCACGCTCCTGCTGCAGCCGTTTCATGAGCATCTTCACGCTGTTCCTGTTCGTCGGAACAGACTTGGCCGGGGACCATCGGTGGTTGATCCAAAAGAAGTTGCACGCCGCCTGGTATTTGCCATGCGTGCGGAAGGCGGCACTGAACTTTTCCATGTCGAACTTGTCCTGCAGCATGTCAAGATCAGGATATGACAAAGCTGGAATATACACCTTTAGTTCGTCACGACTCAGCTAGCTCTTAGAACACTCAGCAACAGGCCCCGATTACATGTCTTGCACCGCAACATGGCTTGAAGCCGTCGCATTCCATCCGCTTCTCTTCTCTGCGGACCCTCCATTCCCAAAGATCGTCGGCCCGCCTTGGGGGGGAGGCTGTTGTAAGAAGGAGGGTGCGCACCCATGGTCTTACAACTGCCTGTAATCTCACCGCCTGTTGTAAGAGCTTCTTGCGGCAATCTCCGCGTTGATGTAAGGAGAGGGGTGCGACACCCATTGACTACATCAACGCGGAGATTGCCGCAAGAAGCTCTTACAACAGGCGGTGAGATTACAGGCAGTTGTAAGACCATGGGTGCGCACCCTCCTTCTTACAACAGCGGGTGGCCTGGGCATGGGTTTGCCAAGCCGCCGGTTCAGGAGGAATGGCCATGTAAATCCACGGTCGGCTGCGTAGCCCACCGTGGAGTGACATGGCCATTCCTCCTTAACCGGCGGCTGCACCAGCTGCTCCAGCCCGGTACGCCTGCCCAACTGGCCCGCGGAGCCACGTACCAGCTCCGCCCCTGCGCCCCGGTACGCATAGGCAAAACACCAGGGAGCACGGGCGTACCGCCCTGTCCCTCCGCGACGCAGCGGCGGTGTACCAGCACTCACCGCCCTTTTTACGCACGCCCTCACCCCCGGTACGCAGGGTCCGAACACAAGAGGAACAGGGCGTACCGCCCTTTTGGCCTCTGACATAGTACTAATATCGAGAACAAGAAACCAGGGCCGTGCACCAGCAAGCCGCTAAGCCACCCACGGCACCGCCCGGGCTAAGTACACCACCCTCAGCCGGTACGCGATGCCAAAATAGCAGGGAACCAGGGTGTACCGCCCGGGAGTCCCGGTTTTTGCCGCGGTACGCGCCGGGAAAACAGCAACGTACCGCCCGCACCGCGCGCGCCGACGGTGCCCCCGGATCCCCCGGTACGCGCCGCTAAAACGGCAGAGAGCCAGGGTGTACCGCCTGCCACGTGTGTATATTATATATAGCCACGGGGACGCTACGCCCTCGTTCTCTGCTGTTTCTGCGGCGCGTACCTGCGGCACGGTCGGGGCTTGGGGAAATTCTAACCAAAGGTAAGGAATGGGGTACAGTTGCAAGACTATATTCTGCCATTGCCTATACCGTTTCGGCGTACCGGGGGCACACGGTCGTCGGCGGGCGTTGCAGGCGGTACGCCCGGCTCGCAGCCGTTTCGGCGGCGCGTAGCAAGGGGCGCGCTCGGCGCCCCGCGGTTGTGGGGCGGTACGCCCGATTCTCTGCCGTTTCGGCGGCGCGTACCGGGGGGCGCGCTCGGCGCCCCCCGGTTGTGGGCGGTACGCCCGATTCTCTGCCGTTTCGGCGGCGCGTACCGGGGGCGCGCTCGGCGCCCCCCGGTTGTGGGCGGTACGCCCGATTCTCTGCCGTTTCGGCGGTGCGTACCGGGGGCGCGCTCGGCGCCCCCCGGTTGTGGGCGGTACGCCCGATTCTCTGCCGTTTCGGCGGCGCGTACCGGGGGCGCGGTGGGCGCCCACCTTGCGGGCCGTACGCCGGGTTCTCTGCCATTTCGGCGGCGCGTACCGTGCGCCTGGTTCACTGCTGTTGTCCAAGCACATCCGGGGGCGCGGTCGGCGCTCGCTTCGGGCAGTACGCCCCAGTTGTCTGCTATTTGCAGGCGCATAGCGGGGGCGGTCGGCGCCCACCTCGTGGGCGGTACGCCGTGGTTCTCTGCTGTTTTGGCGGCGCGTACCGGGGGGACGGGTGGTGCACGCGTCGCGGGTGGTACGCCTTGTTTCCCTGCCGTTTTAACCGCGCGTACCGGGGGCCAGGGTGCTACACATATATGTATATCTATATATATATATATATATATATATGTATATATATAGACATATACATATACATATACATATACATATACATATATATATATATATATATATATATATGTACATTTATCTGTACATTAATATTTATATATGTGTATGTACATAATATACACAATATCTTTGTATGTATATATATATATATATATACATACACACATCGACAGATACATGGATATAGATAGAAATGTAGAAATAGATCTAGACTCCAGACATAGATCTAGATAGATATAAACGTAACTACTAATAATAATACAAGTAACAAGAAGAAGAGGAAGAACGAATCTAAAGAGCAATGTGCACATATATATATATATATATATATATATATGTATATAAGTATGTGTATGTGCGTGTGTTCATACGTATATACACATACATATATACATATATATATATATATATATGTATGTGTACATGTATATATACATATATATATATATATATATATACATACAGATGTGTGTGCATATATATATATATATATATGTGTGTACACACATATGAGCCCCTCCTCCTCGCGGCTAAGCGGGGAGGAGGGGGCGGGGTCTGCTAGAATAAGATTTCTGTTCCGTGGTCGGAGGAATATTCTCCTGCTCAGGGGGGGTCTTCGGGTAATCGGCTGTGGAAGGCGCTGGTATGGCTTAAAGTGTAACCTATAACGGTATAACGCGGCGACGAAGTGAATGACTTGTGGCTCTGTCTCGCTGTCTCATGTAATATCTTTCCCGATGTCGCTTCATCTCTTGTTTTCGGGAAAGCCGCTCTGTGCGATCCATGCAATGCCAACCAAGCTCTCCCTGTCTATCTCTCCCTCTCTCTCCATCCCTACTTATCTGCGTCCTGAACCTGCGTACTGGTGTGGTGTCTTCTCTTTCTCGGTTTTTCTCTCTCGCTCTCTCGCTCTCTCTCTCTCTCTCTCTCTCTCTCCGGCACGACCCGACAATCAATGTGCCGGGGCTTTTTCCTACTCCTCAGGCTCCCTCCACTCACACCTCCCAGCCCCGAATAATGTAGAAGACTGTCCTGGGCCAACCCCCCCCCCCCCCCAGAATGGCCTTAGCAAGGAGGGGAGAGTAATTACATGTTACAGATTCATACGTACATTCCATATGAATACAAATATATACGCAGAGGCACACGCGCACACACACACACACGCAAGCACACGCCTCTCGATCAGTGTGTATGTCCTGGGTTGTCTTCTTTGTCTGTCTCTCCAGCTCTCTGTGCTTTTTTTTGTCCGTCGAATGCATAGGCCTTGTAGCTGCTGAGATGCACAGAGGCCGTTGCATTGAGATCGATACCCAGCGGCTGCGCCGATAGCATGTCGGAGAACACATCGCAGTCCAGGATCGTCTCCAGTGCCGCACTCACTTCACTGTCGTGCTCGATGTTGAGGTTCTCCGGCAAAACGGCACTTTCGCTCACCAGCATCGCGTCCTCTGCACTGCACAATGCTGTAGCCGCTCTCGCCTTCGCCTTTGCCGCCTTCGCTTTCTTGCTGGGGGGAGCCATGTTCAGAAAGACAGGCCAAGGAGTGTCACACAGATCAAGATCGGGATCGAGTCAGAGATCCAAAATGCTTCTGACGCGCACTGTGATGCAGCGAAGCGAGCAGCTAGCACTACTCAGAACTGGACTTCCTGCCCGCACTCTCTCCTCTCTCTCTCTCTCTCTTTCCCTCTCCCTCTCCCTCTCTCTCTCTCTCTCTCTCTCTCTCTCTCTCTCTCTCTCTCTCTCTCTCTCTCTCTCTCTCTCTCTCTCTCTCTCTCTCTCTCTCTCTCTCTCTCTCTCTCTCTCTCTCTCTCTCTCCACTCCCTCGCATGACAGCCACTGCAACAGCATGACTGACAAGCAATATGCGCAACGTGAGAGCCTGTCCCAGCCGTAGACATGGAACCCGAAGCAATGCACAAACCCGAAACAGATCAGGCTCGGGCACGTATGCTCTGAGTAGCATCGATCCTGCAGTACATCAACCTCGGCCGGGAGCGAGAACGCCCTAAACTCATTAAACAACAACAACGACTGGATTTAATGATGAGGGCACTGTGCCTCAGTGGTTTCGGGGTTGAGGCTACAAGATGTGCTCAAGTGACCACCCAATCCGTATAGTGTCGGTCAATACCCGCCCCTCCCCCCACCCCCCAGGAGGAGTTGGAGTTGGAGAGTTGCAGGCTTCGGTGAAGGTCGAAGGTAACGGTTAAACCGAAAATGCAACCCTGGCCTCATGGCGCTAAATGCAAACAGTAGACGGTGATCACGAAGTCTGTCTGTAGCACGCTGAGCTTTTTGTCCCATATGCCCATTCCCCATGTGCGCGTCCCGAGCGGCAGCACGTGGCTGGCAGACGGGCAAGCTTTGGACATGTGGTCAGAGCTGGTTGAGTAAGGCCCCCGAACACAAGAGTTTGTTGTGCCCACAGCCAGGTACGTGACGCCGCAAAGCCCCCGGAAACGCTGAAGCATTATCTGAGTATCCTTCGGAACTAATGCAAGAAACCCGCTCAGGCAGCCTAGGGCAATAGAATGCTCAGCATCGTGCCCCTGTCATGGCGACTGCAGGGCGGGAAACGAATTTCAGGAAAGATTGGTGGACAAACATGTTGGCCTCGCCCTCCACCTGCGCTGCTTCACTGTCCGCGAACAGGCCTACACATTGATACTTGCGCTGCTGCCTGCGGTTCGCAAGAGTTCGATCCACAAAGTCTCCTAGATTTCGAATTCGCGTCCACTTGGCAATCCGACGTTCCACTGCCCCAAAGATGACAGCAGCCAAGGCTGGTTTTTCTGCACGGAATGCTTCCGAGACGTAAAACTGGCGCTTCACGGCCACGGCAGCATCGAAGCAGAAGGCAACTCCGGACTTGCCCTTGGACTTGGCATAGTCCACACTACAGAGAATGCCACCCTGCAGCACCGCTGCTAGGAGCACGTCATCTCCGGAACTTCCGGGATCTGCTACCACGTAGTGATCCGCATTCTGTGAGATCCGTGCAAGCAGTGCGCAGATTGAGGCTGTGTAGCTGCACCCAGGATGCATCTTCCACGTAGTAGGTGGCCTTCTGCACGTCTATATGCTGAGGCCGCAGCCTCTTGACAATGTCAGCCTCGCGCCGCTTGCGGCCTGCATCCAAGTGTTCCTGGTGCGTCTTGAGTGCCACAGCGGCCTCGACGAGAGCATCGTCCACTTCTGACTGCAACAGAGCACCGTCCAAGTAAGCCATTAGCTTGTTTGTATATTTTTGGCCTCGTTGCCAAGATTCTTCATCTAGCACAGCCTGGCTCTGGAATGTGCGGTTTGCCGCTGCCTGCAACACATCCTCCGGATCCACAGCTGACGCTCCCTCGTCCACCTGCAAGCGGCGCTTTTTGATGAAGGACTTCTCGGAATGAGGATCCGGCGCGCGTGGCACACCCTTGTCGAAGCGCTTGTTGCTGCTCTGCCTCGGCGCGGCAAAGCTCTCCATCCAGATCTTCTGTGCTCGCTCGCAGCAGGATTTCTCAGGGATGTCTCCTTGCAGAAGGAGATAGGCCTCGTCCTCGCAGGTGCTCTCCAGCATATGCCGGCGCTCAGCTGGCTGGAACCGATCGAGCAGAGCGAAGCCCTGCTCGACGCCACTTGTCGACAAGCCAGAAAACGCTCCGTAAAGAATGAGAGCCGGCCAAATGGCATCAACAGGATGCCGTGCCTTGAGTTCTCTCCGGCCTTGCCGGCATCGCAACAAGGCTGTACGCCACGCATCAAAGCTTGTGCCCTCAGCAGAAGCTATATGGAAGCGTGCCACGGGCTCAAGGTCAATGTACTGGCTTAGCAAGCTGTCTGGGCTCACATTGCACGCCTGGGCCAGACGAGCAAGATTCGCCTTGCGCCGCTCAGTCCATACCAAGTCGTCCATTCCCGCACCTGAATTTCTCCTAGGTCTGATGTCAAAGATCGCGAGGGAGCTCAAAAGATCATGCAAGGGGAATTCTTGTTGCATCGTCTGGACGGCGAGACTGACGTAGGCTTTAAACACGTCACAGCAGGAAACCAGAATGGCCGGCGTGACACGACCATCCCCACCGAGGGTCACAGCAGCCCCATCCACAAGAAAGCCCCGCTGCTCGCGGAGAAGGTCCAACATGCACGCAGTGTAGCCCTGGTCCAGGACTCCGCCCTGTAGTAGGTAGATGCAAAGCACGCACATGCCCTAGACTATAGAACTTAACCGCAACACAGAATGTTTGCCTATCCCTGAGACTGACGGACCCAAAGACTGTAAGACCATGTGGCCTTGTTGATGAGGAAATGCAATCGATCCATAAGCATGCCCAGCTCCTTTGGCCACTCGGCCGGATCCCAATCCTCCGAATCTACGTATCGAAGCGCTCGTGTATTTTCGTCGGCTACGTCCGCACACATAGCCATAAGGATCAGGCGCTCCTCGGTCAGCGTTGACAGGCATGCCACGCAGCGCTGACGTTCTGCTCCAGTGCGGTTCGCCGCCGCCCACAGCAGAGTAGACATGACTGCATCCCACGTCAACACACAGCGACCCAAGGGCTTCTGCAGGCTAGCGAACCTGTGTTTGGCTGCCCGCAGATCTTTGATCCTCTTGGAGTGGATGGGGCAGGATTCCAGCTTTTGACAGTACGTGTGGTACACAGATGACAGCACGGTGCTGTGCTCGATCATTTGCGTCACGCTGTCTGGCCCGGTGATCCAATCGTCGATGACTGACTGGATGGGCTCGATGGCCTGCCACGGCCTCTTCAACACCCTGTCAGGGCGGCGGCTCTTCCACATTGAACACCCTGAATTAACTCTGACGTATGAACCTAGAAACCCAAAACCAACTTATAGACGCACCTCTGCATAGCGTGTGCCGAATCGTGGTTCACCACGTGCGCATTCTTGAACAGCGGATTGGTGTCACTGCGCGCCATCCGTCCAGCCACCTGCTCGTTGGAGGCTTTGTCCGCGCAGATGATCTGCACCTTGTCGCAAATGTGAGCCGCCAATCCCTCATCGAGGCATCCACGCACAAGGCAGAAGTGTCGCACCATGTCACGCACAGACCTCACCAGCGCGCTGGAGGTTTCTCTTTCCTGGATGCGCTTGTGTCCTAGGACACCCTTTGCTACGCTCAAGTCTGCGTCGCAGGCCGTGAAGCGAACCAGGAGCATGCCTTCACGTGAATCCATTTTGAGAGCAATGCAGTGCGATCTTCTGAGCTGCGCTCTGGCCTCCTCGCGCACTGCTTCTGCGAGGCAGTACTGGATTTTGGTGATCTTCCAGGCGCCCATTTGGTCCAGCCCGCTGCGCAGCGCCTTGCCTTCTTTCCTGTGCTGCAAGACTTTGGCGAAGGTTTCAGTTGGAGGTGCCAGCTTCCTTGTCTTCCCAGACGCAAGGTTGTCATAGCCACCTTCTTCGGAAGCCTCGCAGTGTTGTAAAGACTGGCCATGCCGGCGTACATTACCCAGCGACAAAGTCTGCACGCGACCTTCAGCCCAAGCAGAGACAAGCCCTTTCTTGCGGCAAACAAAGCATCCGAGACCCCACTTGCCATGTTTGCCCAGCATGGGCATTAGCCACGTTCCCATTGGCTGGCCATCCGAAGTGAGAGCAGCCACGTCGCTCCAGTGCTCACGATTTCGCAGGTACAAGCAGCGAGCACACGTGCTTGGGTCCGAGCAGATCTTCACGTGCGCTATGTCCTCTGCCGAAGAGATGTCCGCCGCAGAAGGGTCTGGGTCTAGGCCGCACGCGGCAGGCTTCTTCATGCGCCACCGAAGAGCAGGAATTGCCGCAGTTGCAGACGCTTTCCCCGCCGGCTCCTCGTCGGACAAGCCGTCCAGCATGGCTGCTAGCACAGGCCAAAGACAAGCCGAAACATGCTTCGGCATCCGTGTCAACACGTTCTTGTGATGGCCGACAATTTCTAACCCCTTCTCGCTCTTACCGGAAAAAACAATAAAGAGACACCCAAGTCCTAAGTGCGAAAACCCTAGAAATTGAATCAAGGCCTTCCTTGCTGCGCGGAAACCAAAAAAATCTTCAGACCCAAGCCTTCCGAAGCCAATCACTTTGCACGCAATCGTCCATGAGGTCCGGGCCAATGGGAAGGCAGTGGACCTGGCAAGCGTAAAGGGTCTTTGCACAGAAGGAAAGCACATGACATCGCCACTGAGCCGGCGCGCACTAAGCAGCCCTTCTTTTAACCACGTCGGGCCACGTTATTGAGAGTGAAGAGTGTGGCACAGCTTCAAGCGGCTATGCGAAAGCAGACATCGACAGACAAGAGCATCAGTCACCCTCGGATATCTCATCGAAAGCACTCACGTGCCCTGACATTCGCCGTGCCAGCGAGTCCTCCCGAGGATCTTCTGCCTCAAAAACGGGGACGCCCCGCACGAAGCCGTCGGGATCGTCCTGTGCCTCTGCCCTCTCGGATTGGCTCACATCATCCTCGTCCTCTTCCACCTCCTCCTCTTCCCCCTCCTCCTCCGCCTCCTCTGATTGTGCATCATCTGCAAGGTCTGAATAGTCCTCCCTGTCGTCTGCGGGCTGTGGGCCGTCCCGATCGATATCAGACATGGATTCACGGCTGCCACTGCCACTGCTGTCACAACTGATGTCATAACTATCGGATGTATCGTCGTCCACAATCTCGTCACGTGTGGTGCCAGGCTCATAGCGCTCCGGTGGCCTGCGGACACGCTGCGCACGAACCCACGGCCTCCTGCTTGCGGCCGCATGGCTAGGCGGCCTAGGCGCAGCCTTAGGCTTCGCTTTTGCCTGGGGAACCAGCTCGCCACGCATATGTGCCAGCAGGCGCGCTGTTACCTGTGCCTTGTTTCCACGAACAATCAAACCCAAGTCCCGTGCTCGCTCACGCAATTTACGAAGCGACAGAGTGGCGAGTTCATCCTCATCATCGTCGATGATCATGGCAGGACGCACAAATGCTTGATCGACTATCGGAGTGCTGCGAAATTACTGCGGCTGGCAAACAATGTGCGCCCTCACTGCGAAATTACTGCGGCTGGCAAACAATGTGCGCCCTCACAGCGAGAGGGTTCGGGCAGAAGCCAGCAACGGAAGAAGGGAGGGAGGCAGGGAGAGAAGGAGAGATAGACAGAGAGAGAGAGAGTGAGAGAAACTAAACCCTGAATCTAAGATCCCTGTCCTCCCTTGATAGAGTTCCGAATCCAGTTCCGAATCCAGTTCCGAGGCCGGTTCCGAAATCCCGCTGGTTTCGGAAGTGCCACTTCCGAGGTCTGGTTTCCGCAAATGCTGTTTCAGGGTTTAGCTGTCTCAGCTGGTGTCTCAGGGTTCAGGGGTTTAGGGTAGGGGTCTCAGCTGCTTCTTCCGAAACCGCTGGCTTCTGACTCTTTGCTTCTAGGATTTTTCGTTGAAAGTTCAGAAGGGTTGCATCAAAGGGTTGCAGGGTTTGGGGCTTAGGGTGTTTTTCAGAAGGGCTACACGTTGCTTGCCGGTACCGGTTGAGCTTCCCTAATGACCTCGAAGTACTTGTTGCGCTACGTCGGGCAAACCAGCTGGCAGGCCTTCAGTCGAAAAGTCTGGTGCACATACCGCAGCATGCACTTACATTCCTACAGACTCTGCCAGCTGTTCGAAATGGGGAGAAGTCTTGCCACCTCCGAAGTTGTGCATTTGCAGAACACCACATGCTTGGACCCTGCACCAAGCCGTAACTACCTTTGATTTACGGAACTCATGAACAACTCCTCATCCTAAGTAAAGAACCGCTTCATACCTGAAATCTTCCCAGGCTGGCACCTCTCGCTGGCATCACTGCACAAGTGGTCCGAAACCTCAGCAGTAGAGCAGCCAGGGCACTGTCACAGCATGAACAAAATTGTGTGTTCGTGCGCCAAGAATGCAGTGAAAGGACACGTGGATCACTCCTGAACATGCATTGCCTCTCTCTAGGCTCTAGGCTTCCGTGCCAGCAGCACCAGCACCAGCACGGACAGCACGGGCACCAGCACGGGCACGCGCGGGGCACCAGCACGGGCAGCAGCACGGGCAGCAGCACAAGCACTAGCACAGGCACCGGGCAGCACAAGCACTAGCACAGACACAAGAACCGACACCAGCGGCACAGCACAGCAGATCTAAGGCTCTAGGAGTTCCGTTTTTTGTCATGGCGGACGCCTCCGGGTACGTCTGGAACAAGTACTACAACAGGTACGTTCTGAAGACCAGCGAGAACAAGAGGAAGAAGAGTACACCGGCTGGACAGAACCGCCAGACCAACCAGGAGTTGCAGGCAGGGGAAGGGAGAGGGGAAGAGGGAGGGGGGGTGGGAGAAATATCATGGGCTTGAAGAAAACCTTGGCACCGATGCGGTGTACAAGGATCAGCTGGCAGGGGAGGGGAAGAGGGGGCGGGGGAGGGAGAGAATTCAACAACTGACGCCAGGAGGAACTCCAGGAGCAGCGCGCTGAGTCGGAGGCGGGATGAAAATGCTTGAAGAGAGACAGGTCGCTAGAGAGAGGCAGAGTGTGAACTTCAACAACTGACGCCAGGAGGAACTCCAGGAGCAACGCGCTGAGTCGGAGGCGGGATGAAAGTGCTTGAAGAGAGACAGGTCGCTAGAGAGAGGCAGAGTGTGAACCCACGTGAGGCGTACAAGCGGCAAGCGGGCAAAGCCGAGGAGCTGCAAGCGCAGCTGCTCAGCCAGCTGCAAACGACGGATGTCGGGCACTTGGCACATCAGCAGTAACCTCGCCTGACTCGTTCGTAAACTGAGGGCTACCGAATAGCGAACCTCGCGGAGGCCCGGACGGCCATCTGCGAGAAGGCCTGAAGTGCCAAATTGTTCGGCCTTGCACTAAAGCTTCTTAGCTTGCGGAGGACAACGCTCTGATGGCGAAGGCTCTGTCTGATCAGAAGGCCGAAATGGCGAGCGATGCTAAGGCCAGGAAAGGTGGCAGTGAATTTGAAGGGAGTCATAGTCATACCTGCAGTGTGTATGAACGTAGAATTAAGCTGCTGCAGGAAAAGATAGAGCGCAAGATGAACGACATGGTGAAGCGGGAGCTCATGCAGGAGGCACGGCTGGGAGCTTCCTCGCTGGCTGGGACACATGTAGCCTGGTGCAGGCAAGCTGGAAGGAGGAGAAGAAGACCATGCAGGCCAGGAGTACTGTGCGAATCAGGTGCTAGCAGTCGACAGATCTTTCCAAGCCGCAGTCGCAAAACGCTGCTCCAGGCAGCCTTGCAAGACGAGCTCAAATGCCACGAGGCCAGGGAATTTGTGGAAAATGCTTGGAAACGCACCCGGCATGTGCGTTCAGACCGCGGCTCAGGAGACGGTGCGTGGACTGGAGGCGAAGGACGAGGCAGGAACCAGGTAAGTTGTGGTATTGAGCTGAGGGATCCGAAAATGCTTGGAAACGCACAGGCGAAGACAACCGAGTTGCGAGCTCTTCAGCGCGAGATGAGCACAGCAACTAAGCAGCAGTGTGAGTGACTTGCACTCGCTGGTTCGTTCGCTCTCTCAGGAATTGCAGTCTTTCCGGCAGCTCGACCGAGACGCCGCCGTTCTCCGCTCCGACAAGGACGGGAGCTTAAGCGCTCCGCAACAATCCTACTGGACAAGCTACAACACACAATCAGGCGCGGCTGCTGGAAGCGAACCAGCGGCGCCGCAATGAGCACCAGGCCCTTAGAGCCGAGCATGAGGCCGGGTGTGGCCTCTTGAGTGAAGAGCGACCCAGCCAGAGACAGGGACCGCGTCTGCGCAGGACCGGGCTTCTGATCTCCGGGAAGAGTTGGCGGAGAAGGTCGGGTTCTGCTAGTGCCCTGAGAAAGAAGACCTAGCAAATCCACGGAGGACAAGAGACTCCGAGGGATGGCGGAAGCTCAGGAGAGCAGAATCGCCACAATGGGGAGGATCGAGGAGTCCGTCCAGGAGATGGAGCATCATACCATGGACCTGCTGGTGGGGTTCAAGGTTTAGGGCTTTACCTCAGAGATTTTCAACATGCACATGAACAGGCGACGAAGATCAAGCTTGAAGAGGAGGTCCAGGTGGGCTTCCAGTGCGACCCAAATTCAAAGTAGGGCTTGTGGTCGAGATACTGATGTAACTGAGGAGCGATTGGCGGAGCTGCAGGTGGGGCGGTCTGAAGTGTTCCGGGACTTACTAAGAGTCAAGAAAGCTGCTACTCGACAGGACCTCCAGCTGACTTTCGACCTGAACGTTCTGGCCAGCTCAGTCAGACCATTTGTGCTCTCTGAGAAATTGAAGCAAACCCCATGCCAGGAACGGACACGTTCTCTCCGTGAGCGGGCACAAGCTTTGCAGCTCTCTCGAGACTTCCTTGAGGCAGAGAGGGAGAGAGAGGGCGAACAGCGCTGGCTGGCAGAGGGGTTTGCCCCGACCCACATGAGGACGCAGCATTACGCTCGCAGCTCCGCGCTGAAACAGCTTCCCAAGAAATGGAGGCTGGATGTGGGGTCTTCCTTTAGGCGACAATTTAATACGATGGATTTGGTTGGAGGCCACGGAGAAAACTGCGGCTGAGTTCCAGGCTGAACAGGCGGGCGGTCCCACACCAGTGCTCTAATGTCTCAGGCGCCTCGACTCGTGTTTCGTATGGAGGATATGGAGATCCAGAGCCTCCGCGCTTCGCTGAAGACGGCGGAGTTTGAGGAGGTGGGTTTTGATGCACAATGATCATCATCAACGTCTCCTCCTCATCCTCACTGGCATCATCCGCGTTCTTTTCATCGTCCTCCTCAGCAGCACCACAGCATCACCACCATCACAAGCAACATTCGCGCGACTTAGTCTCGTTGGCTGTTAGTGCTTTTCTAGGTTGCGCAAAGCCTTAATCTTACTTTGCGATCAGTCTGCCAGGAGCTGATCAGAACCGCACTTCGGCAGCAGCTGTTGGCCACGTCGCAGCGGAGCCCTTTCAGCCCTATCCCGACCACAAGCCGCCTCCCGACCGAATTCGAAGCCGCCCCAACTTCGCCGGTGTCTCCCGCTGCTAAGCTGAACCATGCTTCAAGAGTAGTAAAGGTGAATGCATTTTGAATCTAGTGAACTTAGGCTCCGGTGCCTACCGAAGTGCCCAGCGAGGAGGACCCCTGATTGAGTGAGCCTCTTGACAGAATTGACATACTGCATGAAGTTTTCGTTCACTTCGTTGTCCGACCTGTGACAGCCTCTCTTTATAACTTTGGGCCCCGACTGCATTTGCTCCATCAGCAAGCCAAGCCAAGGAAGGCCTCAGCGATTGAGCATGCTGGATGATGCACTGAGTCACGGCGCGACGGCAATCACCTCTTCCAATGAAAGCCTGGGTACCACAGCCGTGCAGCGATCTTCCTTGCTGTCTGCTCAACACACATCTTCAGCTCAACCTGCTGTGTCAATCAGAAAACAGTATGCATGTGGGAGGAAGGTTGCTGAGGCTGAGGCTCGGGTGCCCCGACGTGGCCCAGCCTGGGCCAGAGCAAAAAAGTTCTGCCCCTATCACAGCCGCGCCCAAAGACATGTCTTACCTCCTAGCAGTCCCGAGACTCACTGAACACCGAGGTTGGAACATGGAAGATGACAGGAAGCTGCCACGGCCTTGGGGTCTTCAGTGGACGGTTCACCGGCATGGGTCTGCAGAGTTGCTATTCCGTGATGCGTGGGTTTCAGAGCATAGCGATTGCATGAGGGCATGACCTTCCGTCTCTCGTTCTTGCTGAGTCCCAGACCTTCTGACACCACTCAGTTCTGACGCCAAGAGAGAGACAGGGAGAGAGAGAGAGAGGCCGACCCTGTCTGCGCCGTCACGGCACATCACCAGGTCCTAACACGATGCTCTTTCTCAAAATTCTCCCAATTGATCTTTGCGCCGTCACGGCGCAGGTTGTCGTCTGCGCACATTGGTCTGGTCGTCTGCGCCATCACGGCGCACTGACTTTTTGCCCTTCGCAGGCATAGATCACCTCTTTCGGGTCCTAACAGGATGCTCTTACTCAATCTTCTCCCAATTGATCCCTGCGCCATCACGGCGCATCTGTCGCTGTCCCGTCGTCTGCGCCATCACGGCACATGCGTCGTCGTCTGCGCCCTCACGGCACATTTGGTCGTCGGTCTCGTCGTCTGCGCCATCACGGCACATTTGTCGTTCGTCTTGTCGTCTGCACCGTCACGGCAGAATCGTCGTCGTCTGCGCCATCACGGCGCATTAGCTCCATGATCTTGTCCCCGGGCTTGCCTGCAGGGCCCTGAAAAGAACGTGGGGTTTCGGGGCTTAGGGGCCTTAAGGCTTAGAGGGTTTTCAAGTCCAAGGATTTAGGGCTTCTGGGGTTTTGGGCTTATGGTGTCCCAGGTGTTTGCTGAAGTCTCTACTTTAGCGGAATAGTGTTGGAATCCTGAATGTTCTTCTGAACAGATGTCTAGTCTGGAATGCGACAACAGTATGCAGCACTAGTAGTGTTGGGGTGGGGTTCAAGAACAAGTTACCTTGATTGCTCATGTCTACATGGCATACTGCGGCATATGTTGCAGGTGCAAAAACACATGCAAACAACTTTCTTTATTTGTTCTATTTGGAATGACTGCATTGGAGTGTGGCATTTGATGTTTCCGATCCTGAAACTTTCCATCCTGCTACCGAATGCAAACTGAAGCTCCATGTACAAGAATTGTAACAAAGATTTGCTTCAAATTCTGTTGCGGCTGTTCGAACGATTTCAAAAGAAACGTCTGCTTGAAATATTTCTGCGGCAAAGTTTCACGGAGAAGAAATTCAATCGGCGACAACAGATACCAAGCTTGATTTGTAGCCTTTTGCGCTTTCTACTTTCGGAGACAAACTTTTTTTCGGAAACAATTCAAGTTTAGCTTTTTTCGCCCACAAGAAACACACGGGGGGAACCTCCATTCTTCCATTCCTTGCTAACCAGCAGCAAGGCTGGAGAAACCATGGGAACCCACATGTACCCCACAGGGAACCGAGCTGACACACTGCAAGAGCCAGGGGAGCCCGCCCATACCTTTGCGCAATATATGCTGGGAAAACCATGGGAACCCACTTGCAATGCTGCAAAAAGCAAGGAACCCACAGGGAACCCACCGTCGATGCTGTTAAACCATGGGAACCAATTAAAAATGCTACAAAAAACTAGGGAACCCACAGGGAACCCAGCTGACATGCTGCAAAAGCCAAAAGAGCCTATTGGAAAACCATGGGAACCCACTTCAAATGCTGCAAAAACCCGGGAACCAAACAGAGAAACCACCGTATCGACGGTGAAAAACCATGGGAGCCCACTTAAGAATGCTGCAAAAACTAGGGAACCCACAGGGAACCCACCGTCCATGCTGCAAAAACCATGGGAATCTACAAGACAGCTAAGTGATGAACATACACAGACCACCCGAAATGCTGCAAAAAACAAGGGAACCCATATGTGCCCACCTGAAGTGTTGCAAAAAACAAGGGAACCCACAGAGAATCCACCGTCGATATTGTTAAAAACCATGGGAACCAACCCACTTAAAAATGCTGCAAAAACTAGGGAACCCACAGGGAACCCACCGTCCATGCTGCAAAAACCATGGGAATCTACAAGAAAGCTCAATGAAGAACATACACAGACCCACCCGAAACGCTGCAAAAAACTAGGGAACCCATATGTAGCCCACCTGAAGTGCTGCAAGAAACAAGGGAACCCACAGGGAACCCACCCCATCTGCTGCAAAAACCAAGGGAACCCACTTACACACCCTTTGGGTAGTATAACACTATTAGAACGGTGGAAGGTCCCAGACATGCCGGAGTCAATCAAACTCAGTTGGCAGCTGAGGATTATACCACCGGCTTTGTCCTAAGGGTGAAATCATTTGCCCGCCACCTCTGAGCTCGTTCAGGTTCCCTCGTCTGTATCCTCACACCCTGCAGCATACAATCTCGAATCAAACTGCGGCGGATCAATAGAGTCTGACTGTCCTAGCTTTCTGCAAGCGGACAATTTCGGATCCAGATTTCCCATGCTGCGCGTTGCTCTACGTAAAAGACTACGGCGCTCAGCTTCGACCTTGCAACAGGCTCAACATTTCAGAAGCGAATGAGCATGATATGACGGGCTAACATTCGTGCATTCGGAAAAACCTGCTAGATGTCAACAAAGAGTTTTGGCTGCCCACATGGACTACAGCAAGGCTCACTTACTCATCCTAAACCCTACACCGCAACGCAACCACGTTTTGTGGCCTTCAGAAAAAGAAGGCTGGGAGTACGTCCAAGCAAGGCTTCGTCACTGACTAGCCGGAAAGTTTATCAGCTGCTCAGGCAGCAGTTTGGGCGATGCTCATACATTCACTGGCTCAGATGGCAGACCTCACTGCCAGATGGCAAACCCCACTCCGCAGAGTCATCGCTTTTAGTGCCGGGCTCAAAGCCCGTAAAACATTCGTGCCCTGCCTCAGACAAGGCCTGCACACTGCTGAACCGCTCACGCTCAACCGAAGACGAAGAAGTTACTAGCTGCCACGCAACAGTTCGGGTCACAGCCAAGCTCTCTCACCCACTGCTTCGGCAGGGCTCGCACCGCTGACCACGCTCAACGCCGGGCTCAAAGCCGTAAACATTCATTCCCTTGGAAAAGAAAGAGCGAAGCTTGGTCACTGCTCACCCGACACCGAAGAAGAATTTACGCGCTGTAGGCAGCCGTTCGTCGCAGCAAAGCTCACTCATTCACACTCACTGACTCACGTACTAAAAGCTGGCAGAGCTTAGTCACTGCTCAACAGATACTCGCTGCTGGGGCAACAGTTCAACACCAGAGAGGCGACAGCGAAGCTCACTGACCGCTGATCACTCTCAGTGCTGGGCTCAATGCGCGTTAAAACATTCGCGCCATCGTGTGAGAAACGACAAGGGTTAAATACTGCGATTCAGAAAGCTGCCGTGCTGCTGTTTTGGCCTGGGCAAGTTCAAACATCTACATTCGACGGGGCAGCAGACAGAACCATGCCTTGCGAAGTCGTTTTTGCTCTGCTTTCAGGATCTTAGCGACTCTGCGTGCTTCTACCTGCTTTGGACGAAAGACAATCAAGACATCTTGTAGACACGCAGACCATACCACACCTTTGCATCCTGACGCTCCTGTCGCAGGCGGGCCAGACGGGCGGACAAAGTCTCCTAGCAACAGGCAGACGAGGAAGGACCATTTATTTACCAAGGACGTTCTACACTCCTGCGGCAACTCCACTCTTTGAGGGGGAGGAACAGGAGGTGCTTCCACGTCGGACATCGTTGCAACACATGGGCCAAAAGAACGCTCGAATTACGGAGCCAATTCCGGAAGCTGTTCTCTAGGATGCTTGGAAGGGCATCCTCTGTGTGAGAAAGTTCTGTTTGCAAGGTTCACATGTTTGCGAGCATTCCACTTGTTATTTTGAATCTTGAAGGAACACCGGCAAAATGCAAAACAGAGCTGGCGATGTTTATATACTGTTGCACACAACGGCCAGCTGTGCATGCAGATGTGGCATCTGCTCGACGAAAAAAAGGCATAACTGGGCCCCAGAAATGGCTCCCAAATCTGAGCTCTAATCTGGGGCCCCGAATTGCGTGAGCTTGTATGTCCAACGAAGAAAGCCAAAATCGGGAGCCCCGTTTCGGTGCGCGGACTAGAGCTGCTTTTTGGAACCCGTTTCAGCTGGAAAACTGCACGGAAAAACAAAATTCCTTCCGCATGCTGTTTGGATCAACGTCCAAGAAAGCCAACATGCTGTGAAATGTGAGATACTTTTGGAAAATTTGCCAAACTTGCCATCGGCTGCCGTTTCAAGACAAGTGCTTCTGTTCTTGTTCGTACAAGAGCTTTCCCGCACAGGGGAGGCCCTTCGAGGCTTCCTACGATTCTGTAGCGAAAAAGAGCTCCTGCAAGTGGAGCTTCCCAGCGCAAAAACAGCCCACGTACAGCAAGCAATCGAAACAGTTGAAGCTACAAGCTGAGATTAACATCTGCCAGTAGATGCCGCAAGATCCTCGCATCAGCGTGCCAGCATTTAGCCGCAGCAAACTTATCAAGAGCATTACCACAGGAGGGCGGCGAGCCTCATGTGCATCAGAGGTGAGCCTGTTT